AAGGATTATAGATGGTAAATGCCAACACAAGGAGGGAAACTACACCCTAGAAAAAGCAAGAAAGTAATCTTCTTTCAATAAACCCAAAAGAAGATAGCCACACAAACATAAAAATAACATCAAAAATAACAGGAAGCAACAATCACTATTTCTTAACATCTCTTAACATCGATGGACTCAATTCCCCAATAAAAAGGCATAGAATAACAGACTGAATAAACAGGACCCAGCATTTTGCTGCATACAGGAAACGCACCTCAGTGTCAAAGACAGACACTACGTCAGAGTAAAAGGCTGGAAAACAATTTTCCAAGCAAATGATTCCAAGAAACAAGCTGGAGTAGCCATTCTAATATCAAATAAAATCAACTTTCAACCAAATGTTATCAAAAAGAATAAGGAAAGACACTTCATACTCATCAAAAGAAAAATCTACAAAGAAGAACTCTCAATTCTGAACATCTATGCTCCAAATGCAAGGGCAGCCACATTCATAAAAGAAACTTTACTAAAGCTCAAAGCATACATTGCACCTCACACAATAACAGTGGGAAACTTCAACACCCCACTCTCAGAAATGAACAGATCATGGAAACAGAAACTCAACAGAGACACAGTGAAACCAACAGAAGTTATGGACCAACTGAATTAGATATCTATAGAACATTTCACCCTAAGACAAAAGAATATACCTTCTTCTCAGCACCTCATGGTGCCTTCTCCAAAATAGACCATATAATCGGTCACAAAACAGGCCTCAACAGACACAAGAAAATTGAAATAATCCCATGCATCCTATCAGATCCCATTGACTAAGGCTGGTCTTCAATAACAACAAAAACAACAGAAAGCCCACATACTTGTGGAAACTGAACAACTCTCTACTCAGTGATAACTTAATCAAGGGAGAAATAAAGAAATAAAAGACTTTTTAGAATTCAATGAAAATTAAGGCACAACATACCCAAACTTATGGGACACAATGAAAGCAGGGCTAAGAGGAAAACTCATAGCTCTAAGTGCCTCCAAAAAGAAACTGGAGAGAGCATACACTAGCAGCTTGACAGCACACCTGAAAGCTCTAGAACAAAAAACAAGCAAATACACTCAAGAGGGTAAACAGCAGGAAATAATCAAACTCAGGACTGAAATCAACAAAGTAGAAACAAAAAGAACTATACAAAGAATCAACAAAACCAGGAGCTGGTTCTTTGAGAAAATCAACAAGATAGATAAACCCTTAGCCAGACTAAACAGAGGGCACAGAGACAGTATCCAAATTAACAAAATCAGAAATGAAAGGGCGATATAATAACAGAAACTGAGAAAATTAAAAAAATTATCAGATCCTACTACAAAAGCCCATATTCAACAAAACTGGAAAGTCTGGATGAAATGGACAATTTTCTAAACAGATGCCAAATACCAAAGATAAATCAGGAGCAGATAAGCCATCTAAACAGTCCTATAACCCCTAAAGAAACAGCAGACGTCATTAACAGTCTCCTCACCAAAAAAAGCCCAGGACCAGATGGTTTTAGTGCAGAATTCTATCAGACCTTCAAAGAAGACCTTATACCAATTCTCTTCAAACTATTCTACAAAATAGAAACAGAAGGAACACTACTCAACTCACTCTATGAAGCCACAGTTACACCGCGTATTCTCCCTTGGAGATGGAACTATTTCTGTCTGATCAGGAACTGTCCCAATTTCCTTTTGTAGAGGACTTCATAAGAGACTTTTTTCTACTCCTATCATGTTTAATGTTCCAAATAGATTTTAAAATCTGGTTGAGTGCATATTACTTTTAGCTTCAGAAGATATCATGTATATTTAAGAGGCATTTAACTATTATAAATTATTTTAATGGCTTAAAAAATTGTCAAATTTCCCTCTAAGGTTTGTGCCTTTGTATTTGTTTAAGGAAGTTTTGATTTTAATGTTCTAGGTAACAAGAGCCAACATCTATTGAATACTTCAGCATTTATTGAATATTTTGCTTTAGGTTCTAATTCTGTCGTTTTAAAAATTGTTTTTGCCTCAGTGGGAGAAGATGTGCCTAGCCTTGCAGACTTGATATGTCATGGTGGGGGGATACCCAGAAGGCCCCCACCCACTCAGATGCAAAGGGGAGGGTGTAGGGGGATGGGGGAAAGGATTGTGGGAGGGGGTGACCGGGAGATGGGCAGTGAGTGGGATGTAAAATAAGTAAAAAAAGAAATTGTTTTCGTAATTTTATTTATTTTTATTCTATATGTATTGGTGTTTGCCTATATAAATGTCTATGTACCGTGTGCATGTGTTGCCCTAAGGAACCAAAAGAGGGCTTCAAATTCCCTGGGACTGGAGTTACATAGATGGTTGTTAGCTGTCACTGGAATTGGTCAATGGGAATCGAACCTGATCCTCTGGAAGAGCAAACTGTGCTCTTAACCACTGAGCTATTTCTCCTGTTCCTCATTGTCTTCCTTTTATGTAAAAGACTGAGAGGCTCAGAGAAATGAAATTATCATGTCAAAGTTATACAGCAAACAAGCAGAGACATCAGGATTTGTGCACAAGAAGTCTGTCAATCTTCTGTTTGTAAGGTAAAGTTCTGTGGTTCTCTTTAAAGTCTCCAATCTGTAGTTCACTTGCATATAGGAAGTGAGACACTGGAACTGATCTTTACCTTGGGTCCCCCACTTATCATTTCTGAGATGCTCATTGTTAAATAATAATAGTAACAACAAAACAAAAAAACATAACACTAGTGTTAACTGCTTCTTGCTAAAGGTGATGTTTTTAAAGCTTTACTAATTCCGCAATTAAATGATCCCAAATAAGGAGGACCAAATGGAACTCATTCTTCAAGTGCTAAGTGAAGCCCAGCTTCAAATGGTGTGGCACTAGAATTAACAGGAAGTTGGCCCTTAGATTGTAACACCAAGAACTGGGAGGCTGATCAAGTCAGTTGAAATGAAATCTGCCTCGCCCCCAAGAAGCCCTGCAAGAGGCAGAGGCCATCAAAAGCAGAACGGTCTCCGAAGCTCCACCTACAGGGCTGCAACCAAAATAGTTCACACGTATCCCTGCCGCCTCCTGTGAACCCCGTGGGAAGGAACTCTGGTCACGAATTGCTTGTTTCAACCACCCACACACACTAGGGCAGTAGCAGTGACGGCAGCAGCATCTTGGAACCCATCGATCGACTAACCAACAGCACGTAGGCTACACTTCACATATTTCTCTATCAAGTGCTTTCTTTCTCCAAAGGTTTTATACAGATGTAAAGAAATAAAAACTGATTTTCTAAGTTAAGAAATGAAGAGCCATGAGTTGTGTGCAGCAGATTATGAGGGCCTGATCAGAAAGGTCTCACAGAGCAGGCGCAAATCTGTGAACGTCATTGTCAATGGGGAAGGTCGATCTGTTTAGTATTTTGCTTGTTAGAGCCTTGCCTTCATGCCTACTTACAATGTGGCTGACAGAAAATCCTCAGGAGTGACTGTGCCACGCTCTGCTAGACCCTCTCTGCCACCCTCCTCCCCTATCCATCCACCCTGATCCTTTTCTTTCTGGGAGAGCTCACAGCCTACTCTCCAGGACAGAAATGCCCAAGAATCTCTGGCAGGGAAAGCCAGGCATGTGACCTATTCCCAGCCAATGGGGTCAAAGGAAGAAAGATGATGGTTGTGGAGGTTGGGGATTCTGGAAAACCATTTTCTATTAAAGGGTGGGCGGATACCAGGCATGCAAGGGCTGAGGAATGGAAGTGTGTCGTCAGAGAATCACACAGCAGGCATGCAGCTCAGGGGTATGGTGCTTGCTTAACATCCAAAGGCAATGGGTTCGATTCGTAGCGGCATATACTTATGAAAATAGTGAAATATATAGTAAATAGATATTTTTCTTTGAGGTATTTATTTGAAGTAAATTAGTTTCTTTAAATTGAGCATAATTAGCTACAATTATCAATTGTTGACTCAATGTTTTGGTTACTCAAGCAAGAAAAGGCTTGCCTTGTTTTTGCTGCCTCTGAAATGACTTATTCACACTTTCTTCTCTCCTTTACATATTTCCCCTAAGAAACCATCACAGCCTTCTCCCAAGTCCCTGTCTCCCTCCCATTCCATCTGTCCCTCCCTCTCCTCCTCCTCTCTCCCTCCCCTTCCCTTCCTTCTCCTCTTCTCTCCTCTCCCCTCCTCTCTTCCTGTCTTCGGTTTCCTCTCTCCCTTATCTTTCGAAGTTGTGGAAGCTAAAGTGCATAGCTTAGAGTCTCAGTGTCCTGAAAACAAACAAATTCCCCAGTGCAGACACTTCACGTACTGGCACAAAAATCACAGAATGTTCAAAGTGACAGATGCGGCAAAGATCTTTGTAGTGAATCAGAGTTTAAAACAGGTCAGACTAGAATATCCAGTATGAGTTCTTAAGGTTGTTCTTAACATTTCTGTCCCAACTTAAATCTTTATATGCAGCAGCTGACAACTTGCAGCAAATCTTTGTGAACCTATCTGACAGCCCATCCAGCTGCCATAGGATATCCCTTCTCTGCTCTAGGAAGAGTTTCTAATGATTAGTTTGTGGCTGGCCTCTTAATTCCCACACTGCGCACAGTGTTGGGGACAGGGAGATTATGGCCTTTTCTTTTTTCCATATGTGGACCATTTTAAACCTTTTACTCGCGAGAACTGGAATTGCCAAGGGTGACGGTCACTCCTTAGATTAACCGATAGCTCCTTTTCTCCCTGCACTTGGACAAACATTTGCTATGTGCACAGTAGATCCCAAAGGCAAAGGAGATGATGTCACTCCTGCGCTGACAGGTATAGGCACCCCGGCTCAGGAGGGAGCGGCGGCAGCTAGGCCAAGCCCGGACCGCACCTGCGTGTCGCAGGAGCCAGGTGCCAGCGCCGGGTCGCCGAGCAGGAAGTGGCTGTGGCTGCGGCTGCGGGAGGACAGCCGGGCGGGCGGGAAGAGCCGCGTCCGAGTCCCAGCGCGCGGAGCAAGTCCTCATGGCGGCGCCGGCGCCCACGGGCCCCGAGGACGACGCCTGGGCCGTCCTAGACGAGCTGTCTCGGAACTTCACGTACTGGGCGCCAGGCCCGGGCAACGGCTCGCTGTCGAGCGCCTGGTATCGCAGAAACCAGGTAAGGCCGCCCGCGCTCCACAGCCCGCCGCCTGCCAGCTCCACGCAGGCCCCGCGGAGGCGCCAGGCCTCAGCGCCTTCCTGCCAGCCCTTCGCGCGCGCGACCGAGCGAGTGGGCAGGGCCGACACGTGACGCCGACACTCGGTTACCCACCCCACGCCCCTCGGCGGAGCAGCAGACCCCCAGGCACTTCCCTGGCCTCACTCCTGGGCCTTTGGGTCACCTCTCCTCCCTCTGCTTTCCTCCCCTCCCGCAGGGATCTGAGGGCTGTGGAGGTGGATTTCCACTTATTTTTCACCTCGGTTTTCTTTCACAGTTAAAAAATAAATAAATAAATAAAGTGACACCCTTCTCAGAAGCAGAAACTCATTAAGGGGCTCCCAATGTCAGTTCTGTCCAGAGTTGTGTGTCTCCAAGGTCTCAGCAATCTCAGCATCAACCTTCCCTGATATTCTCAGGCTGCAGTTCTTCATTGCTCACCCTGTGGGAAAACACTGTCAGCCTAACAACACGGGTTTATGCTGGCAATATAAATTATGCTGGCAAATTAATATAAAATATGCTGGCAAATAAGAGCATCCAAGAGGATTGGGGGTGCCTCCCACTCCCTTTTGATGGCCCTAAGATCAGGCAGAGGAGCAAAGCTCTACCCAGCCCTGCCTCCCTCTAGCGTTTATGCTCCTCCAAGTGGGGCAGCTGACCTTTGATGGGGTAGCTTCAGGCTTCCTCTCCTTTTCCTAAGCCTGTTACTGCGTTCTCGTGCATGAACAAAGCCACAGATCTTTTTCCTTTGCGAGAATACATCCATACGTTTTTGTTACTATTGTCCTAAGTGGGAAATTTTAACCACTAATCAAAGGATTAGATTCCTTGTATCCTGGAAAAGTATTGTGAACGTTCGTTTCTGAACTTGGAGGCAATTTGTATAAAGAATAAATAAGCTTAGTACACCTTATTAATTTCAACACAGGAAAGAGTTATGTTGTTATGTCACAAAAGGTAACAAAATGGGGAAGGGGCTTTGCTCAGACACTGAGCCCGTTTCTCCTTGCTTCTACTGTGGAATTACAAAGAACAGACTTTCTGTTTGTAGAGATTTCTTTAGTATATATTATGCTTGTAGTAGACACATTTCCAATAAAAGTTTATGAATGAATGGTCTGCTCTTAGTAAAATATTAGAGAATTAGTAGTTGTGACCCACCATGGCACCATCCAAAACAGGAAAGCATTGTTTTCACTAGAGAACTTACACAGTCTTTAGTTTTCTTTAACATTTCCTGGAATTCTGGATTCTCTTGCCTCTCCCAAGCACAGATTATCATGTGACATAAATGTTTGCAAGGCTTAACTTGCCATTTATAGTACACAGTTGTACATCAGGAGGGTGTGTCCAGAAGATGCTATTGGAACTCCTAAGCTGACACCTTAGCTGCTGTTGGTTGAATTTAAGACTATGTCAGCTTTTCTCATCAGTGTGCAGAATTAGGCCATCTTATAAGCCATGATATTTTAGCCTTTTGCTGCTGCTGAAAGGACAACTACTTTTGTTTCAAGGAAAAGTACAAATTGAATTTTAAAATCGATTCAGCAAACATTTTATCAAATGCCACTAGTACTGTCCAGGACAGTAAAAAAAAAAAAATGGAATCTAGCTTTTCCTTTCTGATAATGACTGGAGAGAGAGATGGCTGAATATGGGTGGGGGCTCCAGAAAAACCAAGTGTGAGGTCTGAGTTGCCAAGCCCTGCAGTCATGATTGGTACTGGGAGCGACTGGCTTCTTGATGTTTCCTTCATTTCTATCATGTCTGAAATGCTTGCACAGCTGCTTTTTGGTGGTTGCCCAGCTGCTCTCTGTGGTTTTACAGTGATTGCCGTCAGGTCTTATCAAGTAGCCTTCCTCCATTGAAATGTCCTGAGGACCCCAAAGAGCTTTCATGTGACAGTGGCCACTTAGAAGGCAGTGCTGTCTGAGACAGAATGCCTGGAGCAGAAAGTCTCAGAGCAGGCAGTAATAAGAAAGCACTACAATTTGCATTGAGACCCTGTCCCACTTGGAAAGATGGGGAGATGTTATGGAAGGTTAGGTGTAACAGAGTTCTGCCTGCATGGTCATGTTGTGTCTACACGTTTTCATAACAAAAGGCTAATTAATGTTTCTAAGCACTGTGGAAATATCCAATGTGGTCTGAGACCCAAACCTTTCTTTCAGGAACGTTATTAGGTGACTAGGAAGATGTCTGTAAGTCCAAAATGGGACATGCGGTATCATGTGAGTGGTATAAAAGCCAGTGGAAGTCCATAGCCCGGTAGCTTTCAGCTGGACATCAGGTCAGGGATTCAGGTGGACATTTAATGAGGGGTGGGACTTTATGATAAGTATGGTCAGGAAGAAGACATTTTGGGAAAGGGAAACTCTGATGACAAGGAACAGCTCCACTTTTTAGAAATGTCCATGCGACAGTCTGGTCCAATGGTGGATGTGGTAGTTAGGGAAAATGGAGACTGTAAGGTGGATAGGGCTTAGGTCCTTGGATCTGGTTCCAGATTGCCTTAAAGGAAGAGTTAGGAAGCTAAAGTTTTATCTATCAGACAATCGGGAGTCATTGAGGGGTGGGGTCAGGCAGTCCAAAAGTCAAAACAAAATAAATTAAAACAAAACAAAAGTATCCCCTGGCAATGGGCAAAGAGACACTGTGTTGGTGGTGGTGTTTTTATGACAGTTGGGGGCAGAACAGATGTTCTGCTCATCCTAGCTTGATTCTTGGCTTGGTGTTCATCCTATCTTGATGCCTGGCTTGATGTTGAAAGCTATTTTATGCCTGGGACTCATGAAAATCAAATCAAACCCAAGCAGCACAGGAAGAGGAAGAGAAAGACCTGTGGACTGCCATGCCACCCATAGACCTTCCTCCAGCAAACAGCACAGGTGGGCCATAGACACTCCATGCATGTTACCCAGGGGCCTGCCAACCGTGTGCCCAGCCTGCAGCGGGAGCCACCACGATGTACAAATACATGCTGGACAGACGGGAGAGAAAGAAGTGGAGCAGCTGGAGCGCCGTGAGGAGCGTCGTGAAGAGAGATTGACCTGGAGGCTCCAGGGTGGAGAGGAGAAGCCTGTTTGTTGTGAGTGGCCAGCCTTGCCACCCGGAGCCATGGATGAAGTCCTAGCCTGGGCTGCTGCTAAGATCCGTGTCTGGGTCTGGGTCTATGTAGCAGAAGAAATCTGTGTTGATGTCCATGTCTCATTTTACCACTAGAGAACATGGTTAGAGCTGCCTGGGACCACGTGAGTACCCAGGAGCTGTACAGAGCTGGCCCTGCTCCTCCCCTGGGCAGCACAGTAGCCCTGATCGAGGGGGTGTAGGTGAGCCAGCCCCAAAGGTGAGAGCATGGAAGGGCTGGCCCTGCCACTCCTCCACTGTGAGGTGACATTGGTGTGGGCATGATGCCCCCCATTGCCCCCTTACCTCCTGCAGCAGTTGGGAGAGCCAGGGTCATGAGAGTGGGAGAGCTGACCTGCCTACTGCTAATGGAGGCATTGGATGGCCCAGCCAGCGCAGAGCTGGAGAGCTTGCTTTTGTGGTGTGGATAAGGGAGAGCCAGTGGGTTGACCAGCTCAGTTACCACCTAGGCCCAAATCCAGGGCTCTGAGCTGGCCCATCCCAAAATCTATATCATCTGCAAATGGTTGGGACACTTGAAAGGGCAAGTCCTGCTGATCCAAGGCTGCAGGATCTCCATGACACAAGGCAACAACAGGATAACTGGGAGGAGGCCCAGTGAGGCTCCAATATTGATGATGTCACAGAAGCCAGATGCCTTGAACCAGACCAGTGACTCATTGCATTCATTGCAGTGAACATTTGCAAGTGAAGATGTGTGGACAGATGATGTCTTAGTTAGGATTTTACTGCTGTGAACAGACAACATGACCACGCCAACTCATAAAGGACAACATTTAATTGGGACTGGCTTACAAGTTCAGAGGTTCAGTCCATTATCTTTATGGCAGAAAGCATGGCAGGGTCTAGGCAGGCATGGTGCTGGAGGAGCTGAGAACCTTCTGTTCTGAAAGCAGCTAGGAGAAGACTGGCTTCCAGACAGCTAGGAAAAGGATCTTAAAGCCCACACCCACAGTGACACACCTATGCCAACAAGGCCACACCTACAAATAGTGCCACCCCCTGGGCCAAGCATAATCAAACTACCACAGAGTTTGGACACACAGTGACACACTACAGCTTCCACAATGAGGTGTTTTCTGTGGTTTGTTTTTTTGCTGTTGTTGTTGTTGTTGTTGTGTGTTTGTGTATATGTTTTACTTTTGGGGGGGAGGTTGCCAGGACAAAGGGCAGATATGTGGGGTTAGGGAGTTGAGTGGGACTGGGGTGCATGATGTAAAACTCACAACAAATCAATAAAAACTTTTTTAAAAAATCTAAACTAGAAAAAACAAGAACAACAAAATCCCAACCAACCCTCCCTTCCCTGCCCTGCCCCGCCCTAAATCTAAATTAGGATATAACAGGAGGTAGAGGCTTGAAACTGGCCAGATGTGGACTAAATCTGTTGCATAGCTAGGATGTGTTATGTTTGACCTTCAGAGAAGTTTTAAAGTGTTTAGTATATTATCGTTTAAAGATGAGATAGCAGGGGCTAGAGAGATGACTCAGCAGTTAGGAGCATTTTAAAAATGAGATTAAAATGATCTTTAAGATTAACACTATGTCATAGTATGATGCTTATTATCTAAAAGTCATATTTAAAATACACCATTTACTCAAACATATATACACACTTCCCTTTACTTAGTCAAATAAAAACCAAAGGTTTATCAAAGGTCAAACTGAGAACCTTAAAGAAGTTCCTTTATTTGAGGGTATGATTCAGACTTTCTTTTTTAAAATTTAGGGCAGAATTTATCTTCCATCATAGAAAGCATTTGGCCTTTTCAGATAAGTTTTTGAAGACATTTGTTGAATTGTTTGGACTA